AGGAATTAATTTGTGGAACTGGTCAAACAGGTACTTGTTCTAGATAGTGCTGTTTTTGAGAATGATACCTATGATAAAAAAGATTTCTCTACATTTGATCTGCCCTTTTTTCTTCTTTCTTTGTTTTTTTCTTTCCTTCTTTTTTTTGTTTCTTTCTTTGTTTCTTTCTTTGTTTGTTTGTTTGTTTGTTTCTAAGGTTAGGTTAAGACTGATGATAACCAAATGTTAGACAAAAATATAGATAGACAGACAGACGGACAGACAGACAGATAGATAGATAGATAGATAGTTGCACCTCCTTACTTAAACCAACTTAAACTCAACACTCACTCCCTCATTTAACAGACAGCCACGTCAGCGAACAATATGATGAGCATAACAGCTTGACTCCATATGAGACAAACTGGCCCAGAGCCATCCAGGAACCCAACATTCTTCAATGTTGAAAGTTGTTTTCAAACTCAAAACAATTTTTATTAGAAAAAGCTGTGAGAACATTCTGCAATTACCTTCGATGTTATGTCACAGTAGAACCACTGAAGGTGGGGGTTGCCCAAGTGTCTGCTGCTGGGCGTGTTGCTTAAAAGGAGCAGGAGCAGCAGCACACAATATCAGTTTTCTTCTATCTCTTGCAGTAAACAACAGCTGAAATCAATTTCCCAGGTGAGGATTTTACCATTTTAAGTACTTGTTGCAAAATGGTAACCATATAATGAATGCACTGCCTAAAAGAATGATGTATTCATATGATGAATGCATCATTCTTTCAGATGTTCTATTTGAGGAACTAGTTTTGTGGTAAATATTTATTTTAGTGGAGAGATCTGGGTCACCTGTGTTAGTTGAACCATTAAAACAAGACAAGGGTTTAAGCTATTATTTTAGCCTTTTCCTTTTTAAATAATTTGTATTATTTATAAGAATAATAACTTAAATAACTTTGTGTTACATGCCTTTTTATCCACCGACTCTGGTGTGAACATTTCTTGTCTTTGCATTTGCATTTAATTACCAGGACCTGCAGTGACTTGTCTCTCTTTTTTTCTCACTGATTTTCTGTATCTTCCTCCTGAAGGAAAAGAACAGCTGTGTTGTGTGCAGCTTGAACAATAGACGTTAGGCTAGCCAAGTTTGAATGACAAACATTTAAAGTGAGTCAAATGCCAAAAACCTAGCTGAAATAAATCAAACAATACCTACCTAAAAATGTAGCTAATTAGTTAGGTAGTTAGTTAGTTAGTTGAAGTTAATCAAATGTTAGTCAACAACTTACCTACAGATAACAAATTAAGTTAATCAAGTTAATCTCAAGTTGATTTAGAGACTAATGACCAATATATAAAAATACAAAAAAAAAGATACTTACTTTTTTTTAAACTACAGGTAGCAAGAAGTATGTAACTTAAAGCATTTTAGTGAAAAGTTAGCAAAAATAAATTCAATTAAAAACTGGGCCAATGTTATAAATAAAAAATAATGAAATAAAAAATGGGACATGTTGGTGAAAGATAAAAGGTTAAAGTTTAGCAGAGAAAATTGTAACAATCTGATCCATAGGAAAGAACTCACTCAATTCATGTGTTTGCTGATCTTTTTGAACTTAGGATGAAGAAGCTGTTAATTGACTGTGACATTGGCGTCGACGATGCTCAGGCCCTCATGGTGGCTCTCACTTCCCCCGATGTGGAGGTTTTGGGAATCACCTGTTGTCATGGCAACGTGTCCTTGAAAAATGTCCTGCAGAACACACTGCGTGTCTTGGAAGTTTGCAAAAAGCTGGATGTGAGTTTGATGTCAACACATAATTTTAATTGGTTAATTTGCAGTTTTTATTTTCATTATCATTGACTTATTATTTCATTTATTTATTAATTTTTGACCTACACTATTTTACTATACCTGAAAAAGGGACAACGCCGAAAGAAAAAGAAGAAGACTATTTTATAATACTACTACTACTCATATCTACAAACTCAACAGTGTAAATGTACAAAACATGGCATTATGCTATACTTCTTTACTTCTTCATACCCCGTACTGTACTGCTGCCCACACTGTGGACTTATCTTAATAAGACAATGTTCCCATTAATAATAACATTTAATATTTGCATTAATTCATTAGCTATCCTCTAGCCAGGCTAATGCCACACTTCAAAGTAAAGAAAAGCAGTTCTGAAGAAGGACATTGCCAAAAACTGTTGTCCACAGACATCAGGGAACATACAGATGTTAAAAAACATATTTTAAGACAATGACCTTTTCAAACTGTGTCAAAATGTGTTGAACTTGTTTTGGAAAAATGTTATCAGGCCAATGTCTGTGCTCCAGGTTAATTACAGATCATTGGTGTCAGTTGTTGAAACATGTTTGACTGTTTTAGGCTCTTCCTCAAACGCTCAGACATTTTCTTGCCTTTACAAAGTCTGGGACAACCTGTAATGTTCTTGTAAACAATACAGTTTGATCTTTTGTCAACACCATTAAATGTGAAGTCAACTATTAGGCCATTGTTCTAAGTTATTAAAAAAAAAATACATTGAAGTCTGATTTTGAGACAGTGCAGGTGCTAACTAGCATAAGCAGAAAAAAACGTTTTGTGTCTTTACCTGCAGATCCCAGTGTATCGTGGCTGTACAGAGCCCATGGTGGCCAAAAAGAGGAATGCAGGAGATTACCATGGAAAAGACGGACTGGGTGATGTTCCTCATGATGACCCTCCAAAATTGGACCTGATTCAGGATAAGAAGGCAATACATGCAATCATCCAGACTGTGAACAGAAATCCAGGAGAGGTACAATATGAATATACTATAATTAATTTAGTTCTGTCACAGTGGTGTCTGATCAACCTGGACAAACCAAATATTTGGACTTGGCTTTAACCATAAACAAATAATAAACACAGTAAATAAATAAACAGGCTAAATATGAAAACATCTAAATGCGTCTGTAATGCCCTCTTTAAGAAGTCTCTACATAAACTGTTATCTTTTGCAAAACTTAAGATCAAAATGTCCACCTAGGCTTTCTAGCCTGGTGTTTGTGTATTTTTTTTCTACCTGTTACCTTCCCTCAGACTAACTCACATATACAGTGACAGTAGAAAAGAACACAGACATGATACTGTCTGTTTGGGATTTGAAATCCCAGAATATGAATATTTTTTAACATGTATGTGTTGCTTTTTCCTGTCCACAGGTGACTTTGGTTGCTCTTGCTCCACTCACTAACCTGGCCATTGCTATAAATGTGGACCCTAGCCTGCCTAAAAAACTCAAGGCCCTTTACATCATGGGAGGAAATACTGAGTGTGAGTCTTTATACTGTTGATACTTTATATAAATTCAGCATTTATTCAGGTTAATTACCTCTGTGTGTGTGTGTGTATGTGTTTGTGTGTGTGTGCAGCCAGGGGAAATACTACATCTTGTGGGGAGTTTAACTTTGTGGCTGACCCTGAAGCTGCTCATGTGGTGTTGGAACGTTACACCTGTCCCACCTACGTCGTGTCCTGGGAGTTCACATGCAGGAACAGCTTGCCCTGGGTGAGAACCTATGGACACACATATGTGTTTCGGGGATTTAGAGAGTGCATTATTATTTATTAAAGCCCCCCCAAAAACTCCACAGACTATAATGGTACTTTTATTCAGGCCAAAAAATAAGATAAGATACTGAGCCACATAATGTTTAAATGAATAAATAAATAAAATGAAATCAGTGGTGATTTCAGGTTAAGGAAACGGTAAATAACTGTCTAAAATGACCAGGGAAAATGTTGTGACAGATGTGAAGGATTTGAAGATGTAATAAAAATGTATTTGCCTTTTCTCCTCAGACCTTTGTGGACAAGTGGTTGGCACAAGACACCGAAAAGGCCAAGTTTATGAAAGCGATTACAGAGGTTTCCATGAAGGTGAGGGTGATATAAGCTCTGACTGAATCTTTACTGTATTTTGTCTCCACAGAGTTGATGAAATAAAACATAAATATCTGCATTCATGTCTGTTAAACTCCTTTGTTGTATTCTGTCTTATCTGCAGAAAGCTCGCTCACCAGAATATCAGAAGGAGATCACAGAGGGTAAAGGTTTCAACGCCTGTGACACCTACGCCATGGCTGCTGCCATCGACGACACTTTTGTCACTGAAAGTGAACAGGTGAGAGGTTGCGGGAGAAACCTTAGTCATTTGGCATCAACAATCTTCCCACTCACTGAGCTACAGTTGCCCACCCCCACTTTATACTTTAAAAATGTTTGTCCAACTCTGTTATGTGTAGCAATGGTGGCAGTTGAGCTCTACCTACCTGCGGTATGTATGGGAACCTAACTGACATGTGGATTAGGTTACTCACTATGACGTTTAAGGTGTTATATATTACAGAAGTTAATTTCAAGTGTCAGCTGTAGTGCTGCTTTGACCATGTACTGTAGGTTCTTAGTCACCCAGGTCATTTCCAAAAATAGTTACATCGAGGGACAACTGGATGGAGTAGGTTTTTTCTGAAGACGTTTCATCTCTCATCCAAGAGGCTTCTTCAGATCTGAGTGACTGCTGGGAAATTCTGGTATTTAGCCTCAAAGGGGCTGCCTACCTGTAATGAGGGTCATGGTAGAAGGGGGGGGGGGGGGGGGGGGGGGGGTGGAGGTGTGGTGAGCCCTATTCTAAGGAGGGCGGAATATAAAGTCACAAGGTTGGAGGTGTAACTGGGGAGTGGCTATGGACTAATGGGTTCACCTGAGCGACACTTTTTCTGAGTGTACTTTGAAATGAAACTGTGGTCTTGTTTAACCTGCTCTGTCCAGTTGCTTTCAATTCATTCTTCTTATCTCTTACACTGTACTTTGCTGAACAGTTATTACTGGTCACTGTCTGGACAACTACATTATTTTGAGGGTGGTACCCTGTATGGGAGTTAAAGTTGTGAAACTGGCTAGGAGAGGCCTGGGCAAACTACGGCCCGTGGGCTGGATGCAGTCTGTTTGGCTAAACGTGTCTAAATGATATTATAAATTAAAATGATCTTTATATCTACACTATATGCCTTTTCTCTGCAATGCCTGCATTTCCCCATTAGATGGCATAGACAAGGGTAAAAGCAGTTTAGCCTTTATGCATGACTTTAACATGTCATTTATCTTAGTTCACACGAACGCTCCATCTATCTGCTCCTCACCTCCCCCCTGAATCCCCCTCAAATTCTGGCAGCCATTGTGTCTGGAGAGTCAAAAAGTTTGCCCACTCCTGGGCTAGTATTATATTTGAATGTTAAAAATTTGGTTCAAAACATATTCAACACAACAATCAAACCTGTTGGACTCTCTCTTTCTCTCTCCCCACTCCCCCTCTATCTCTCCAGGTTGCCGTGACTGTGGAGTTGAATGGTGCCCACACCAGAGGCATGATGGTCATGGACTACATCGAGCTGCTAAAGAAGGAGCACAAGGTCAACATTGTGAAGAAAGTGGATATGAACAAGTTCAGGCAAATGCTGATGAATTCACTGAAGTAGACACACAGTGTCACTGCAGGATCAGTGCTCTGAAGAAACGGAAACAAATGTATCTTCAGTCCTCATATTCAACAAACAAATAAATATCATTATAAAGAAAGTGTCTCTGTCGCCTGATTGGTTCACCGTGTAGGAAAGAGATACAGAAGTCAGAACTTGACTGGCATTTGACGTTTAATTTCTTATTCACGATATATTTTTCTGTTCCACAGAGTGCTGGAAAACTGGTTTTTAGCACCCCATGGCTAAAGAACAGCAATGGTTAGCCTAATAGCTAAAACATAGCCAGACTCATTAGCACCCTCTATATTTGATCATCAGATTTTGCAGATTTGTTTTACGACATGAAACTAAAGACTGAAACTTTCTGTCAAACACTTCAGTTTTTTTTTCTATCCTGTATTCTGTGTATTGCTGGAAAGGATAAAATATTTATATTTAACATACAGTCCCTCAGAGTCTATCAACTTGTGTACATACGTATTTGTCCTTTAGATCAGTAGACCCGTGACTCTATGCTGTTTCTTCATTTCGTCTAAAGTAAAGTCATTGCCTTCTATTTGAGTGGCAGCTGTGGTTCGTGTTAATGCTGCAGCTGCTATGAACTATTTATTTCCCTCAGGACATAAACATTTTTGCAGTAAAACTACACACACTGGGCTGTGCTGTCGTTTGTCTTGTGTATTGTATGTGTGCGTCACACCCTGAATTAAGGAGTGTGTGACTCAGCTGACAGGAATGTAGACTGTGTGTGTGTGTGTGTTTCAGTGTGAGAGGAAGTTTTAGCGTTGGGAGACAAACTCACACATCGCTGGTTAAAAAACCCCCTAAAGCCCACACTCATCGTGTTTTATTCCAGGTCTGGTAAGAGACAACTTCAACATTTACATTCTCCTGATGTGTGTCTGATGAGTGTGCGTATGAGAGAGATTTTCAGAAACCTCCTTAAAACGTAAACGTAACGTCAGTCTGTGTTTGCAGTTTTTCTCTGGTATCTGCAGAAATGCACATTAGTTTAGGTTCATGTTTGTGATCTACACTTGAGTTTCAGGTTGAGTTTGTTCAAAATCAACACTATTCCACAAGTTCGACTCAACTGAACTGTATTGTAACTAAAGGGTTGTCGGTGCCAAAACTGGTCCAGACAACTCTACTGTTTGCCCAACCTTTTTTAACCCCAATACATATTTTACATTACAGAAAAACTGCACAACACACCACGAGGTAAAAATTGCACAAAGAGTATGTGTAATGACATGTAATTAATTTTTTTGTTTTAATTTACTCACAATTTACTTACTAAGTGAGAAAGCTAGGGCTGTAGGTCAGGAATTGAAGAAAAGGAAACAAACAGATCTTCGTCAGGCTTTGTTCAGCTGTCATCAGCTGTATCATCATAGTTGTCAGAAGAATTTATTCCGATTTGGAACATGATTCATAGTAAACCTTATGATCTTTCAGGAACACAGTGGGTTAACAGTACCATCATTTGACTAGTTTTTGTCTGAATTTTTGAAGTGTAGCTTCGAGATTGTTTTTGCTCTATTTAAGTTTTGTTTTTCTTTTTTTGTCCTAGCGTTTGGGAAAACTATTAAACTAATTATTTAAAAAATGTATCTGCAAAATCAATGCAGTTGTGCTTATTTCTCAGAGGAACCATCTGCTGTTAACACATATATTTCCACAGTTCAAATTATTATTATTATTGTTGTTGTTTTTGTTTTTGTTGTTGTTAGTAGTAGTAGTAGTAGTAGTAGTAGTAGTAGTAGTAGTATTAGTATTATTATTATTTGTAACCTCGTACTTGCTAACTCCTTCTAGGCTAACCTCAACCCCCCCAACCCTTTCACTAACTGTGAAATTAGTTTTATTCACTGTTTGTTCAATTGTCGAAGCTTTGTTCCCTGCAAATTTTGATTGTTTTGTTGTCAACTTATCTTTAGCTTATTTTTTCTAGGTCTATGTTTTGTCTAATAATGGCAGTTTCAATGCCAACTGGACCAGTTAAAAAGTAATGACTGTTCTATAAGCTATTTATGCTAACTTTTTCTGTGGCTTCTGTTTTGTTTTTGTTTTTTGTTGTTATTGTTGTTGTTTTTAACTAGATTTTAGGCATTTTCTAAGCAACGCTCTGTTGTCTACCTAAGACAGCTTTGTCACGGATAACATTAAACATAATATGTTTGCTTTTTCAAAACAGATTAAAGTTCATTCTGTTTTGGGCTGACATTTACTTATGCATAAATGACATGTAATTTACAGTTTACATTTAATGTGACATTATATTTGACAGAGAATATTATGTTGTGTAAACAGATGGTTGGTAGAAAAAGAGCTCCTGCCTCGAGCAGGCGTGCAGAATGGTGGCGGCTCAGACAGAGATGGAGGATGATCGGTGTGTTTGAGATTGACCCAGAACACGAGTTCTACCAACTGACCACCACAATCAAAGAAGGCATGCAACATGTAATTCAGACCTGTGTGGATGGAGAGCCTCAGGTTAGCAGTCTGCTCACTTGGATTTCAGGTCTTTTTCAAGTCCAGCGTAATGACATTTTAGAAAGTACAAGAATAAAAAGTGATTTTGGATTTCTACATTTAAGGACTATTTCATGTTTTGATTTTGTCGTACGTTCTGATTGATGTTGATCTGCTTTTTATGCTTAAACTCTTGACATTTTTCCACACAGGACACACTGACAGAGGAACATTTCAACGCAGTGGAAACTCAGACCCACTCAGTGAGTTTTTTTAAGCTAAAACAATAGCCTCACATTAACAACTGACCAACCAACAGCTGCACCAATCAATTACAGACAGAATTAATGACACTTTTAACAGAGTTTCAATACTGCAATTTTTTAAGGAACTTTGCAAATATTTAAGCCCTTCTTAAGCCTAAAACAACGTCAAAATTTTCAGGTACCTTAAAGGACCTCAACACACCTCAACTACAACATTTTTTAAAGTAAACTGGCTGGAGGGTTCTTCAGACCTGGATAATATGTTCATTAAACAATTTACCATTCATGCTTATTTTTCCTTAGGGGTTTGAAGTCCAGACATTTGCAGGACCAGTGTTCGCCAAACTGAGGAGTCAGCTGGACATCACAGCAGAAGAATACATGAACTCCCTTTGTCTTAGTGGACACTACCTGCAGTTTATCAGTAACTCCAAAAGCAAGGCTGATTTCTTTGTCACGTAAGTTCAGACCTGCTTTGACCTCAGCTCCAATCGAGGCTGACTGCTGGTTTTAAACCAACCTCCCTCCATTGTTGTCATCCACACACAATTAATTTACAATTCTGTTATCAATGATACCGACATACAGTATGTAGCCGTTTGGGTTAATGGCTGTGTGCAGTGGTTTGACAATACTGTGCACAATACTAATAATAGTTAAAAGTAATACACTTTCACTTCAAAACTATTTTTAGGTCACACATCATTTGGCGAAACCCAGGCATTGAGTTATTGTGTTTTCATTATCGGAGAAAAACCAATAACGATTCTTCATATTACATAATTAAGCTCATGTCAGCCAATAATATCAGTTAGCCATATATACAGATGACTGATTCTTCTTTTTTTCTTTTTCTCCTTTCGGCTTTGTCCCTTTTTTTCAGGGGTTGTCACAGTGAATCACTGATTTCCATCTCTCCCTGTTCTCTGCATCTTCTACTCTGACTCCAACTATCTGCATGTCCTCCCTCACTGCATCCATATATCTCCTCTTTGTCTCCTACCTGGTAGCTCCATCTCTAACATTCTTCTACCAATGTATCCACTGTCCCTCCTGTGCACATGTCCAAACCATCTCAATCTGGCTTCTCTAGCTTTTTCTCGTAACCTTCCTGTCTGTGTTGTCCCTCTAATGACCATTCCTGATCCTGTCCATTCTTGTCACTCCTAAAGACAATCTTAGCATCTTTAACTCTGCCATC